GTTGTGAACATTGGCCAAAGATCTAACTAAGTCAATGGTGTAGCTTCTTTAGACTATATATATTCTTCTTCTCATAAAGTTTGTAGACCGCCCTTCTAAGTACTCCCTTGTCAAAGATGTCAAGGATGGTTTTACGTCCCGGTTTTGCTCTTGAGACGGTCCCTGTCTTATCTGATTTGTTTACAATATTGTAAACTTGTTGGTAAGACATACCAACAGCTTTACAAGTTCTGTAATAAACCCTTTCTAAACTAATGAAAGGTTTACCTCTGTCTTTTTCATGCACAAGAAACTTATAAACCTTTGCAACAATCGACTGTAAATAGTTAGCCATAGTGAACGCTGTGATAAAGATGTGCATGCATGACGGGAAACTTATTTATCAAGACTTAACATTTATATTAATATTTCTTCAATAAAGAAACGATAATAAATTAAAGTAACAGAAACATTCAACATTTATTTGTTTAAGAAAAACGCTAATTCATATTTTTACACGGCCTGTATTATTAGCATTAATGTAAAGACTATTTCAGATTTCTGTTGTTGAACTCTGAAAAAATCTTGAGTTGTTGTTTTGGTACCAAATTCTCTCCTGTAAACTGCCCTTTAAATGCATGGGAATGTTAAATCGATTGAAATAAAAATTAGGTACACTATAGGCGAGTTGATATATTGACAACATAGTACATTTATCACCTTTATCGTAGTATTAAGGCTAAAAAGCATTTTTCTAGCATTTCCGACAGTACTTTAGTCTCTGAAATGAACATATTTTACAGAAACTAAAAGTTTTTAAATTAAATTTGTAAATACAATAAAAAGGAGCTCAGGGACTTTCTTCATCTAGACTTGACACATTTTCTAGACTTGCGTGGGCTTTCTTGGATATATTTGCTATAGGGTCTTTACCAACACTGGTATAAGAAGACACATGCATATTGGTATGAGTTGGTTTGTTCATGGTTTAATGCTGCACTCAGCTATATGGCGGCAGTCTGTAAATAATCAAGTCTGGACCAGACAATCCAGTGATAAAGATATTAAAGCTGAAAAACATTTTTCAAGCATTTCCGACAGTACTTTAGTTGTGTCTTTGGCACCTCAGAGTCATTTCAATTATTAGACACTGGTGTCCTACCAGCGTTTTACAATGTGTTCAAAATCTTGTCACTTGTCGTACACACGGTCAGTTTCAACAATTAGACTCATTTCAACAATTAGACACCTGGGTCCAAGTGTTTGAAACTCTTTACACCATGGCCAACTATCACTGAACCGTTGCACATAAAATGTTGAAAAAGATATTTAAGACCTCTCTGCTTCACTGTAAGTCAGTCACCTGTAGCCTGTATAGTGACCTAGCTCTTTGGTGACTCATGTAATGAAATACATGTACACAGGAAAATGCAAACATCGATGTTGATGTGACTTCAACAATCACTGGGGTAGCCGACTGGTTAAAGTGTCCGCACGTCATGCTGAAGCCTGGGTTCGATTCCACACATGGGTTCAATGTGTGAAAACCATTTCTGGGTCCATCACGCCATGATATTGCTGGAATTCGGCTTGACGAGCCAACGCTTTAACCACTAGACTACCCCAACGCCCCTCACTGCAGTAGAAGACTTCATATGTTTGCCTTCAGTATTTCGATCGCTATAGCAACACATTCTGTCATGAAATTAAATTTGTGAAAAAAGGTGCTGTCACTGCCATGTGTAATTACCGCCTTGGCTAAAAATGGCTGACAAAGACCAGGAGAAACTAAAATAGACCTCATTACACGTTAGAAACTGATCAGTTCACACATGGTCACGGGAAAAGGGGCCATGGTTGAAAACAAATGGAATAACAAGTAGTCCATGGACTAACTCTTAGTTTCCGAATATATATAAATTTGATAGAAATAAACAATTCCTTTTAAATTCAAAAGGAGCCAAACACACAGCTACTACTTAACGAAATTAAGGAAGGTCTGATTCGAACTTTTAGTACTACTGTTAAGCTGTCACTGCATGTTCTTTAATATCTTACCCGTGAAGGTCCGGGTTAGAATATTGATCTTCAGTAACCCATGCTTGTCGTAAGAGGCGACTAATTGGATCGGGTGGACAGGCTTGCTGACTTGGTTAACACATGTCATCGGTTCACAATTGCACAGATCGGTGCTCATGTTGTTGATCACTGGATTGTCTGGTCCAGACTCAATTATTTACAGACCGCCGCCATATAGCTGGAATATTGCTGAGTGCGGCATAAAACTAAACTCACTCACTCTTTAACATCTTTTGAGTGGTATATTCAAGCCTTTAATCACACTGAATGAGTATGTAATGTAATGATTCCAAATTAAAACATGAGAGAGTTAACAAGAACACTGCATGTACTGACAGACTGACTGAGTTTGGTTTTACGCCGCTTTTAGCAATATTCCAGCAACATCACGGCAGGGGACACCAGAAATGGGCTTCACACATTGTGCCCATGTGGGGATTCGAACCCGGGTCTTCGGCGTGACGAGCCAACGCTTTAACCATTAGGCTACCCCACCGCCCCACACTGCATGTATCTTCAGAAGCTATTGGTTTACATGAATGATCTGAAGAAGCAAGAAGGCTTACTTTTAAGGGTAGAAATGGTCTGGGGTAGACTAAGCCTAAGTTTCTAAATATGTTTAATTTTGATAGAAACAAAAAAATCCTTTTAAATTGAAAAGGAGCCCCAGGGAGATAGGAGATTCAGAACCCGAGGAAATCTACACTTCTTTCATATAGGTGAGGTGAGATTGGGTTTTACGTCGTGCTTGAGAATACTTCGCTCATATGACGAGGTGCATGAGTGTGTATGTGTATGTGCGACTGCTTGTACTAGCCCAGACTGAAGCTGGTTTTATAGTGCTAGCCCACTGAGATACCACGCCGCAGTTAAGCATGAATACCCCACTCAGACACAGTATACTGACTCCGAGCCGACCAGTCCTTGTTGTACCCATTAATGCCGAGCGCCAGACTGAGACCAACAAGTACCATATTTTAACGTCTTTTGGTATGATGCGACTGGGGATCGAACCCGCGACCTTCCGCTCTCTGGGCGGACGCTCTAACCACTACACCACGGAGGCGGCCCTTTCATATAGGGCTGTAGCATTACAGAAAGAGCTGGGCAGAAAGAAATATAATGCAGTTCAGTGAGTGAGTTAGGATTAACGCCGCTTTTACCATAGTCCAGCAATATCACGGCTGGGGACACCAGAAATGGGCTTCACACATTGTACCCATGTGGGGAATCAAACCCGGGTCTTCGGCGAGACGTAATTCAGTTCAGGGACTGTGGGGCAGACTATGCTCACCTACAGCTGCTCCCTGCTCTGATCATAAAACAAAAACAGTCAGATTATTTTCCCAAATAATTATGTATGAATTATGTTCAATCCAGATAACATACCACCACTGAACCATGTCTGTTTGTGAGACTGAAAACAGGAGTGCCTGAAACGGGCCGACACTATCCCCATGAGACTATGCAACATAGCATATCTAGACCCCATGACGAAAGGCTGGTGCAAATTCTAGACACAGCACTTAAAGCAACGAGACTCTGTCTCTGTGTGATTAACTACGTACTTGATGTACATCTTCCACTTTGATTTAACAGACCAACTGGGGTGGAAATAACTTTAAAATTGCTGGTGAACTCCGGTACAGTTGCACATGTAAAATCACTTGCCCTGATAATTTTTCCATTACCGGCCAATTTTCATGTTGATTTTTTAAATAAACAATATAATTAACATTGGAAAGTCAACTGGACACCGGTACAGCTTGATATACAAATATGCTTGCCCGACAGAAAAAACACTGGACTGGGGCGTCAGGCAATGGGTTATTTCCACCCCTGGACCAAGTTGGTTAAAGAGACTTTAATCAACCAACCATGGAGTTGATGTTCTATCAACCAGGTCCATCCAAACTCTTACATTTGGAAAAACAAGTTCATTTTCAAAACACATTGATCTTTTACCCAGTTTGTTCACAATCAACAGAGTGAGTGAATGCTGCTTAATAATACAATAACAATATTTTAACAATATTTGCTGAGTGAGTGAGTGAGTTAATCTTACACTATTTTTAGCATTATTGCAGCATCACGACAGAGGACACCAGAAATGCATGGCTTCACACAGTGTTCCCATATCAGGAATCAAACCCAGCTCTTCGGTGTGATGAACAAACGCTTTAACCACTAGGCTACCCCACCACCCACATTTGGTATGATGCCACCAGGGATAAAACCACAGGCATTATGCTCTCCGGGCATACACTGTATCCACTTGCCAACCCTTGTGGTCCAGATACATCATATATAAGGGATAATGTCAGTGTGCCAAGGTCGCATATTGGAATAGTCCTCTCCTAAACAGCTGACCCAAACAAGCAGAGGTATAGGTGGTGGCCTTATCTGCCCAGAAACAGTGTGTGTCAGCGTGACACATATTTATACCATAGAAAACCAGCAGTTATGAATCAAAAACAATGCATACAACTCTGCATCAACAAATTGCATGATCTACATACAATACTGTTGGTCATTATTACATGTATAACACCATAAAGAAAAGAGACGGATACAATGTTATACAACGACTGCCTGTTCCAATGTGTCATACTGTAACACTGTATCAATGCAGGTTTATCAGCTGATCTGACTATTACTAGTGTAAGTAGTACGTATAATGCACACGGTTTCACAACACGAAATGGCTCACATCGTGTAATCTCGAGCGGCTTCACAACACACATGACCAAACAAGAGAGGGTGTTTTCCTAGTCAGAGCTATTTAGGGGGTCAGTCGCATCATGCCATTTCAGTAAATAATGGCGGACATGGGAGAGGAAATGTCAAAAGCCTTTAAACTGGATGCCGGTCATCAGGGTATAGTCACACAGCTAAGCTACACAAGAGAATGCACGATACGCAAAACAGATATATGTACTTACATTTAGTGCCTGACCTGCTGATACATCAAAGATGGGCTGTGAGACGGCTTCTGTGAGGTCGTATGCTCCAGGAGTCAGCGATGATGTGACTGTCGTCGTCCGACGCTTGAGTTAATTGGGTAACAATAGAACGACGCTCCAGGTATCATTCAATCATGGGCTTGTGTTAATTACATAATATTCGTCACGTGCACTGCATATGCACTTGCTGGAAGAAGGATAACAATATACGAACATCCACCTTTGTTTACAATCACCCCGAGGTCACAGTGAGCAGGTGTTTATGTATTCCTCCGCCGTTATATAGTGCGTCCTTTCGTCCACATTATTCGGGTTTCATTCCACAAAGTGCTATATTCCCTGCACGTAACCCATAGGTTGAAAAGATTACTTAGTATTCCCCTTCCGCCTGAAACCTCAATGTCGGCACACGCATGCTAGCTTGGTTCCAATGTATGCGCATTAATTCTCGTTTCTGAATTCTGATTGGCTCTTGAAAATATGACATCATCCAGATAGTCTCAGGGTTGATATCACACCCCCAGAGATTATTTATATTAGATATGGCCTGAAAATAAAACTTGAGTCAGATTCGTGAGATAAACTCGATAAATTGATTATCATATTAGAAGAATAAGTCGTCAAATCTGATCAGAAATAGGACAGATAAATAATCGCGTTAAGTTTTGGTATGCATCGCTAATAAGTAATGTATATTCCCGGCCGATGTGCCTTGGGAAACCCATATAGAAAACGACAAAAGAAAAACGAGAAAAAATAGATATCAGAAATTATGTGAAAGGGTATAATTCACACCTACATAGGGCGCTATATAAATTTTGTACATTATTATTATTATTATTACATGAGCGTGCTGTCAACTAAGTATATCGTTAATTTGAAGAGAGGTGTGTATGTGTGTGTGTGTGTGTGTGTGTGTGTGTGAGAGAGAGAGAGAGAGAGAGAGAGTGAGAGAGAGAGAGAGAGAGAGAGAGAGAGAGAGAGAGAGAGAGAGTGAGAGAGAGAGAGAGAGAGAGAGAGAGAGAGAGAGAGAGAGTGAGGTGAGGAGAGAGAGAGAGAGAGAGAGAGAGAGAGAGAGAGAGAGAGAGAGAGAGAGAGAGAGAGAGAGAGAGAGAGAGAGAGAGAGAGAGAGAGAGAGACAGAGAGAGAGAGAGAGAGAGAGAGAGAGAGAATAACGCCATCATAATAAGACATTGGGTGAGTGAAGGTAGCACACGCAAGTGTACACACACGCACACGCACACCTGTGATTCAGGTGGCCTATTTATAGAAGTGTTTACTTCTCTGGCTTCAAGGTAGGATTGAAAGAACAAAGGTAATTTTCTCTATCATGGACTGAATATATTTTCATGGCGCCTTTAGCAATATCCAAACAACAATGTCACGGCTGGGTACACAAGAATGGGTTTCACTCCATATACCCCTGTAGGCAGCCGAGACGACCCTTTCACCATGCTTACAACAACAATACCTAACACCTGCCCCTCTCTTACCTTGCCCGCAGATCCCATTCCCATTTCCCATTGAAAAACTTGTTTACTGTTTAGTGACGCACCCCTGTAGTTATCTGGGTTATAATGAGTGAGTTTGGTTATACGCAGCTTTTAGCAATATTCCAGCAATTTCACGGTGGGGGACACCAGAGAGGGACTTCAAACAATGTACCCATGTAGGGATTCGAACCCGGGTCTCCGGCGTGACAAGCGAACGCTTTAACCGCTATGCTACCCCACCGCCCTAATTCCGATAAGATACGACCAACACTCGATCGCTGCTGACCACAGAGCATGCATAAAGATATTAAACCCGAGTACATCATTCACCTTCATGTGTCTCGGCTGGCCAAGACGTCTATATTCGTTGAGCAGAGTTGTGCCTCAGGCGTGGTTCGAATCTTGGGTTCGAATCCCGGTCTGCCATTCCAGGTTTGTCACACCATATCCGAACGTTTGGGTTTCATCAAACTACATATACCTGCATCAATTTGTATTCCTCTCACATCAACTTGACACTCGTAATATACCCGGAATAATGTTCAAAGCCGTCAAACCGAAACATGAGTCTCATTAACCTATTTAGACAAGGACCTACTTTTCAGCACATCCGAATTTTCGTGTGTGAAAAGGAAAATAGACATCACAAACAACTATGGTTACACTGAATTCCAATTCCTTGTTTCATACAAAATTGGTATCTACAAATGAATTTTAATTTTAAACTTTAATAACATCGTATTTCTATCTTTTGCGGCGAGGTGTAGGCAACTAAGACGTCACAGACTGCCCCAGATTGATGAGGTCGTAAAGTGATTCACAATGCATCTGCCTCACTGGTTACATCTGTTATGTGTTTTCTGCGCTTATTCATTGTAGTTCTGTAACGCACAATGTGATTGATATAATATCAAGTTCGTACCAGACCGCCAAACTGTTCTAGCGGCAGAACCTCGTTTTGAGATTTCGACGATTTCCAGGTTTCTGTTTGACAGTGCTCGCTGTGCGACGGAGCACGCTGCACGACATGTTTGTAAGGATTATAAGGAGCGTAGTGTTGCAATATACAAGTGCTTAGATGTATCAAATAATACTGACTAATATTATGTATCTAGTTAAATGAATTGGTCTCAGGTTCGGGGACTTGGACGATGGAGAGTCATCGTACCCCACGTCGGGGTCGTTGCTGAGAATGTTAGCATGACTGGGGTTTTTTTGGACAAGAGCATTTTTTTCTCGTATTTAGTAACCGTAGATTTTAACAAAAAGCTGTTCAATATCGTTTTGGAGTGATTGAGTGAGTATGATTTTACGATATTCCAGCAATATCATGGCGGGGGACACTAGAAATGGGCTTTACACATATGTGAGGGGGGATCGAACCCGGGTCTTCAGCGTGACGACCGGACGCTTTAACCATTAGGCTACCCTACCGTCCCTCCTAATTTGGAGTCCAGATTACGGTAGTTTGTTTTAACGCTTAGTAAGACCCTATATAATACCACTTGTTTTGGGAAGCCAAAACATTCACCACTTTTGTGAAGCCTGTAAATCCGGGTATGGCGTCAGCAGCGTATCAAGAAACAACAGGGGCGCGACACATCTTGTGTAACTTTGTATAAACTTAACTAATGAGCAATTGTTAATTTCATCCTTAATCTTGATTAAGACACAACCAGATTGTTATTTCTACCTCATAATCCGGTCTTCAGCAAACCATGCTTGTTACGCGTAAGAGGCGGCTAAGGGGGATCGGGTGGTCAGGGCTACTGACCTGGTTGACACATGTCATCGTATCCTAGTTGCGTAGATCGATGTTCATGCTGTTGATCACTGGAGTGTCTGGTCCAGACTCGATTATTTACAGGCCGCCTCATATAGCTGGAATATTGCTGAGTGCGGCGTTAAACACCAACCAACCAGCCTCATAATCCGAGCCTTTAAGGTCTTATTTTGTTCATAATTTGGTGTACAGAATTTTTTCAAAAAACGATCAGCAAGGTAAGTTATTTTGAAGAAAACGTCGGAGGATCCAAAAGCAAAAGGATACAAAAACTCAAAAAGATTAGAAATAGAACTCTTTGAGTAGCATTGAGAAGTCGGTGTGATGAACAACGGGGAGGGGATGAGTGAGTTTAGTTTTAGGCCGCTTTTAGCAATATTCCAGCAAAATCATGCACGGCGGGGGATCCCAGAAATGGGCTTCACACATTGTACGCATGTGGGGAATCGAACCCGGGTCTTCGGCGTGACGAGCGAACACCTTAACCACTAGGCCACCCCACCGCCCTGTTCTATGGATGATCATTTCCTTGATAACGGTTTAGCAGCTACACCGAAACGTCGCTCACATTAATAATGAAGAAGTTTTATATCCATAGAAATCAAATCACACCGTTGTTTAGACATAAAAAAGCAAAATTATTCTTATGGTCTGTTTATGTTAGGATCACAATTACCCTTTGCTTATCCAAACCGCAATCGTTGTCAACACAATCAGGCGATGTGTTATAATTCATGCACTTTTCAGCTTAATCCCTAAACTGTTATTTGCACAAGATGTACCACATTATATACAGAATATTTTGTTTGTTAGTTTAACGCCGAACAACCTTCCCCAAGGTTACTTACAGTAAGACGTTAAACACTGGCCCTTCAGCCCATCCAAACATACTTAGTGCAGGTATGATATCATATGTACATCTTCAACAAACAACCGACACCTCCCCCCGCCGTTACCCCTATAGTCTCACTCTCACGCTGCACATCAGCTCGAAAATCCCCTTTCCACGTAAAGCAACGTAAGCCGTATATGTTGTTGAGTGCTGAATATGTTCAGTCGTGTAAGTCAACTAGCTCAAGGCTAGTCATGTTTCATGAGTTTGTCCCCGGGATGTGATCAGCAGAGCGTGCTGCTTACACTTTGGTCGGGATGAGAATTAAAAAATATATATGTTCCCGAAGGCTTGATGCCATCCCTGGCTCACATAGGTCATGATTGCGGGCAAGAGATTAAGCTTTTCTTAGATTAAAACACATCCAACAGTTAGGAGTCCATGTTATAGACGCATAGGTTTGGATGTGGTGAAGCGATATATCAATATTGGCAAGATTATTCGATAATGATAGGGAGATATGACGTGTTATATCAACCGTTAGCGGATGTATAAACTCTATGATTTGTCATTATATTACATTTTCTATCAAAATGTGTTGGGCATATGCGGAAAACTGCATACAGTGAAACACCGTTGTGTCGAACTTTGATGTGTCGAGTTTATGCTTATCTCGAAGTAAAAACTAGGTCCCTGCATAATCCTTCTCATTTTATCATTTTTCGGTTGCGTCGAATCTCGGATAACTCGAAGTATTTACGCAGACCCCTTCAACTTCGACACAACAGTGTTTGGCTATGCTGGGATAATTGCTGGGATGGTCTTGTGGGTACAGTGTTCGTATTGTTGTGCTGTCATCGCAATTCGCCGGTCCCCTGATTAGGTCATACGCATATGCGGAAAACTGCATACAGTGAAACACCGTTGTGTCGAACTTTGATGTGTCGAATTTATGCTTATCTCGAAGTAAAAACTAGGTCCCTGCATAATCCTTCACATTTTATCATTTTTCGGTTGCGTCGAATCCCGGATAACTCGAAGTATTTACGCAGACCCCCTTCAACTTCGACACAACAGTGTTTGGCTATGCTGGGATAATTGCTGGGGATGGTATTGTGGGTACAGTGTTCGTATTGTTGTGCTGTCGTCGCAATTCGCCGGTCCCCAGATTAGGTACCCAGGATCCGACGATCGTGGGTTCGAATCCAAGATTGGCCCTGATTATGACTTTTTATTGACTTCACATCATTGTCGCGGGTAAAGTATTATATCTGACGAATCTCTGATATTGTGACCAATAGTCGATGCCTTTGGGGTG